CGTCATTCCAGCAGATCTCAGCATGGACAAGTTCTTGGCCCCAGTTATCATAACCTGAAGCTGGCAGCTGGGAACACTTTGGTCTTTTTTTCCTGCAACAAGAGCATTTATCACATGAAATAACCAGTTAGTTCAGCTGATAGCTTAAGATGTTGCTATCGGGAAGTAGGAAAATTCCTAAGTGGTATTACTGAGATAAGGACTCGTAGTGCTGTATTAGGATCATTTGAAAGATTTTAACCTGCTTGTGCAGGGTATGAGTCACACACACCCCAAAAAGGCTAGCAGTGAGTAGCAAGTTGCTTTGTGATTCCTGTTCCAAAGACAGAGCTTTCTGATGTATTTGTGTAAAGCAAACACAGGGCAGCACCCACATGAGTGTTTCTCTGAAACAAGCCAGAAGCAGGAGAAACAGCCAAGCCCACGATGTGATTCTACTCCTCTGTTACAGCTCTAGTTATAGAGACCCAGTACACAGGCACGCGCAGGGAGGACAACTGAAAGCAAGCAAGCTGGTAACTTTGGAGTCATTTGGAAAAGAAAAGGGAACAAAATTCACCTAACAGCTAGTTAGATCTCTCTATTGGCCTCCACCTGATGCTATGGTCCTGACACAGAGTTAGTAGAGCTCCGAACTTCTGTATACCTCATTATGATCTAGGGAAAATGAGGTTGTCCTATCCCTCCCCCAAAGGCATTTCTTTTACTTCACCAGCAGGTGCTTGCTCTGACACACTACAGCAATACTTAATGTATCTTACAAGTCTTTCATTACCAAAAACTGAATCCTGACTGTACATTTTGAACCTAACATCTTGCAAGTGAAACAAGCTCTCTTAAATGAGATCACTGAAGGAAGCCAAGGGTGCTGCTCTAACACCCTTGCAGCCATTTCCTTTCCACCTTTTCCCTAAATTGGCAACCTTGGACATTAAAACTGCTGCACCACCTCTAGAACAAGGTCTACTAGCAACACGGTGACTGGCACAAGCTTGTGAAACAGCTGGATGCATCATGCTGCTGCCACTATAATGTGCAGCTTTTGTTGGCATTAAAAAGAACAAAAAGATGGAGTTGGCAAATGTTTGCATCTTAAATAATTTGAAATACAATACACCACAAACCACTATTTGCAGTAGCTGTTATAAAACCCATACAGGCATATTACATGGACACATTGCTAGCCCCTCATTGATCTCAATTCTTTTCTAGCCAAGGGATTAAACAAACATACATAGTGATGTATGCTGAAACATTTCATACCTTCGAAATCTTTATACTGAGCTGGTGCCGACAGTCTTGCAGACAGAAGGAGTTCACCACTATACTGGATAAGATCATCTTCAGGCTTTTCAAGCTGAAGAAAGGAACACAGAAATCTGCATTACTGCAATCATTCTATTCCACATCCTTCTCACAGCTTATTTATGTTTGCAACACATCCTTCTAATGGGCTGGATTGACAGCATTTTTCCCTTCAGTGATCTCATAAGGGTGGTATTTTTCACAGCTTTTACTACATCTTGCTTTTAAGATACAACTAAGCACAAAAACTAAGAATCACCTTGGGCTTGAGCTGGTACCAGCTGAACAATTGCATTGAGTCCTCTTGAAAATCCCACGCTGCCAGTGGAATCACCACTTCCCCCAAAAACACCCTGTATTTGAGTGCTCCTGCATGCCACACAGAGATCTGGAGCTGCCGACTTCCCAACTGAGAGTATTCAATCTTGTACTGGAAAGATAAACAGTATTTACAGGGTGAATGCAGGCCCATGCTCATAACAGCATGGCTGAAGGCACCTGGATGCAGACAGAACCATGTTGTCTGAACGTGCTTTGCAATCTGCATATTACTCCACTATTTAAATGCTAAACAACGCTCATCCAAATATGAAACAACATTCCAGGAATACCTTGACCTGCCTTGCTAAAGACTTTGATTATCAATTCAGAATTTTAAATAATTCTTGACCATTTTTGCTGGTGGCTTTTTTTGGGTTTTTTCCTCTCTCCCTCTCTTTGCTATACACTCCAAGTAGAATTTGGCTACTCTGGAAGCCACTTCAAGATTAAGACACCCAACAAAGCTGCTAAACTTCCATTCTAGTCAGTGGACATCTACTCAATGCAGTCAGTAAGAAGAAGGAACTAATTCAGCTGACCACTAATTACAGCCCTGAACTGCTCCCAGAACATAGTTAGAGCCCTTTGAGACATTGTTAGGTATCTAATATACCTACATGAGACTGGCAAGTATGATACCCAGCCTACCAGGGACCTGCACCCCCCTGGGCTGGAAGCTGGAGGCAAGGACATCACTACCTGCATTTAGGCTGCTGAATCACAAGCATGGTTGTAGGTTGTGGAGCTAATCACTCTGGGCTCCAATGATTCCCAAGAGCATTTACGCACCTCTCATACATGGAGCTACCCAAATGTAGATACCTTAATTTGCAGCTGAATGTCACCAAGTTGGATCTTGGTATCATTATGTAGTTTACCTGCACTAGCACTATGATCTTCTGACCATTTCTGCTACTCTAGATAAACTAATAGTCAAACTAATTCAAAAGATTTCTAACTAAACTACCTTTAGTGTTCATACAGCCAGTTCAGGCATGGCTCTCACTCTCCCTTTTTCAGTTTTGCATGATTTGGCAAAGGGACTATAAAATTAGAACCAGCTACTTCAATTTCAGGTTCTTTTTCCTCTCAGCTTAAACCCTATATACAGACTTCAGGCTATATAAGAATTATGTACATTACTTAAATCTTTTGTTGTTGTTACTGATTTTTACAATGTTTTTTTTCAAACATATTGCCTGTTTCACTCACTAAAAATTCTTGTTCGTACACACCGAGAGATGGGGGTAACACTGAAGCTTTTGTGTAGTTCAAGGACCAACAATACAAGTTTTTCTGTCCATTGACTTTGTTTCTTATCTCTTCCAGGACAACACATTACTGAAGAAGTCATCATCTTATGTGCTACTGCAGCTCATTGATGCACACAAAAAAATGGGTTTGGATTGATCCGAGTACAAAACTGGAGCTGGGAACAAAACTAATCCAACCTCTTCCGGGTGGCAGTACTCGGCTTCACATTTCATTAAGTGTCTGTGAAGCAAGAATAATGGCTTCTATTTTCTACACATAGTTCTTACAAGGATACAAGAAGTAATACTGCAAGGCATTAAGGCATTAAAAGCACAACTACTGTTGTCTGGTGGGACTCTTAATGTTTGAAATTAGAACTACAAAGAGATGGGCTGGCATCAATTGCACAGGGAAAAGGAAGCAGACAGTGTTTCAGAGGTGGTGGAATTCAGTTAGCATTCAACTAACTGCAGAGACACATTCCCAGTGGCACTGACAAGGGGTATTGATTGAAAGGGATACTTGTGTAAAACAGAAACTGCTCTGCAGTGCACCCAGTTCCCAAATGTACCAAAAAAATCTATGGAAGATACTTTGCTTTTTCACAAGGTAACTCAGAACAACACTGGAATTCATTAGCAATGTTTTTATGGACAAAGGCAGACTCTTTAAATGCTTAACAATTTATTATTGTAACTCCAAAAGCATTTTCTCTTTATTTGGACTGAAAAACATAGTTTTTTCAATTCTTGTTGCTAGTGGCTCTTAGATTTGTCCCATCAGGACAATTCTGAACCTGCAGGATTGTACAATACAAAAGGAGACATTACCCTGGAAAAGCATGCTTAGCAGCACACAATTGCAAACAGTACCTTCAAAGTCTCATCAAATTCTGGATCCACTGTTCTCTTTTTGACAGTTGTCTTCCGCTTACTCCGAGGAGATTTATCAGGAAGTAAATAAACCTTAACATACCTTGTAGGTAGGCAGAAAGATATATGGAAGGTAATCAGAGAAAGAGGTGGGGGAGAAGCAAACAAAGAAGAAAAATTAATTTGTTTTTCCTTATTTCTTAAACAATTTTACTGACTGTAATTTTCCAAGCAATAAAATGGCAAATTGTGATTATATCCTTTCCCAGTAAAAACAGGCAGACTATAAAGATCCCTGTATATCATTCAGCTAACATGCTTCAATTCTAATTGGGAAAGGATCAGGATCTGGATAGGAATCTTCTGGTTTCATACTCTTGGCCTCTCATAACACAGCCACCAAGGAAGTCACCTTGTCAGCTGTAGTGAGGGTTTTGTGATGAAAACAAACAGCATATTAGGTGCTCAAAGAAAAAAAAAAAAAAAAAAAAAAAAAAAAATCAGCTCAATCAACTTTTAGGGTTATTGCTGCTTGTTGGTGAAGAAAACATCTCATTTTTACAACATCAAGTACCATGTAGCAAAAAAAAAAAAAAAAAAAAGTATAATCATCAAATAATACATAATAATTTACAGCTCTTATAAATGTTATCTGTTATAATAGCCACTATAGGGAAATCAGGAAATTGTCTGAAGTGCTGAAAATTGCCTTAACATTGATTCAAGAAAAACCAGTCAAAAAATTCTGGCAGCTGAGTTGGACCAATATCAAGCACCAATGATTCCTACCCAAAGTTTCTTATGTGTAAGTCACATGAACATTAACACTTAAATATTCCCCTTCATATGAGATTTCAGTGGGCTTAAACCATGAGAGTTGTGTTAAGGCTTCAAAACTAAACAGTATTAGCAACAGAGTATTTGCTCACAGCTTGGCAGGGAAAGGAGTGATTGTTAACATAATACTAAATATTTTTTTAACTATGCTTGTATACTTTTCAGATATTACGATTAAACCAATTTTAAAACAGCCTCTTGATTAACTTACTCAAAAGTAAGATCAGCAGTAGCTCATATTGTCAGTGCAGAACTTATACATCTTCCTTATTCTTTCCAAACTTATACGTAGGCAGTAACTGTTTAAAATATCCAGGTACTAGAAGTTTTAGCCTTTTGCTCTATCACCCCAGGTCAACGTAATTAAAAAGTAGCCAGTCCAGTCAACAAGCTAAATAATTCAGTAAGTTTTAAACATCAGCTAAAAGTCTGCTTTTTGGCAAGTGTGTTAAGTGAGTACTCTGACTGTACTTTTTCTGTTGGCTTGGAAACCAACAGAAATATATAAATATACACCAACAGAGAGCATAATGCTCATTACACAGTACTTCCCACATTGCCTTTCAGTCTTCCTGCAACTGTTTGCCTGGCTTAGTTACCAGGGGACTCAAAGAACCTTGAGCTACTTCCAATGTGCTCTCAAACTACCCTGCTTCATGAGCTGCTGTTCCAGCAAGGCTCCTTTCATCACCAAGCCCGTCTTGATTAACATCTTCTGCAAGGTGCACAAAAGCCATGTGCCTTCTGGGTGAAGGTGACTGCAACTCCACAATTCCAGTGTGGTCACTCAAGGGCTCAAACACAGTATGACAGCAGGGACAAGAACAGATAGGTAGGTGTTCTACCTGGTGATTTTCTGTGAGTGGTTACTGCATGGTCAGAGATCATTTAGTAATAAACAGACAAATCACCAAGACTTACCTTGGTGATTATCCAACCAAAAATTTCTATGGCATATTTTGCCTACAGCAGTAGGTATTTCTTCCTCTTACAATAATACATAATTATTGAACAGCTTTAGACTTTAAAATGTACTGCAGTATCTGAAATTTCTATTCTTGTTACAGAAGATGGAAGCACAGAAGTAGTATAGCAATCACCCTGCGACCCACAGTGAGTGAGTAGGTGAATTAGGAATGTGACATCATACGTTTTAGCCACTTATGTATTAATTTTGTGGGCATAATTTAAGAGCTAAAATCTGAACAGCTACTCTTGAGATCCAAAGGTATTTATCAGCACCAGATACCCAACT